GGAAGAGGATGTTCGCCCCGCTACCGCCGTCGACGAGGGTCCGCCAGACGTTGCGGTTGGCGATGCCCAGAATGATTACTAGTGGGTCATCGTGGGGGTATACCACCCCCTCACAGTCTTCGGCTGTGAACAGGATGTTCGGCGCCGGTGACTGGGACTGCCGAAGCTCAGCCTGATGAATCTGATGGGTTAGACCCCTCAGTTGGCGTTTGGCTGTGCCTCGCGAGATTCCCCCGGAAATAACTAGGATGTCGAGGGACTCCTTGCCCTGAGGTCCCTTATCCTTCTTCCGAGCGAAGTTGAGGTCCTGCCGAAAACCTTTTTCAGCTTTTTTCTCCTCGCGCCTGTCCGCGAGGTATTGGCTCAGGTACCCCTTGCGGACCAGATCCTCAATCTGGTCCTTCAGCTGGACGCAGTCCTCGGTGCGATGTCCGGGTGAGTCATGGAACTCGCACCACTGGTCCTTTCCCCTCGTCTGATGCCAGGGAGGCAACGGACGAGGTTTTTTGAATCTCCCCTCGTCCTTCGTCGTGCTGAAAATCTTAGCACGGGGAAGGGAGAGTGGAGTGTATGAATCGTACCTTCCCGTGTAGGGAAAGTGTCTTTCCTTCTTCGGCTCGGCAGCAGAGGACGGTTCTGAGGCCTTAGCCTTCCCTTTCCTCTGCGCCGAGACTTCGGGCTGCTGCCCTTTCGGCTTCTCAATTCTCGGACGAGACTGAGACCTGGATCTGTTCCACTCCTCGGCTCGGATGAACCTATCCGATGCTTCCAAGGCTTCCTCCAGGGTCTGCGGGGGATGCATGACCATGAAGTCCAGGAACTTTCCAGCTTGGAGGCCGTTCCGTAGCGCGAACACGGCCAGGCCTTGATCCAGGCTTGTGATTCCGGATGACTCGTTGCTGAAGCGAGTCAGATAGTCGCGGAGGCTCTCGTCCTCCGCCTGCTGCAGACTCATTAGCTCTGCAGTGGTCTTCTCTCGGCGGTTGGCCGTAGAGAATTTGCTCTTGAACTTGTTGGAGAGGTCGTTCCAACCGGTTATGGAGCCTTCCTTGAGCCCTTTGGTGATCCAGGATTGGGCAACACCTTTGAGGGTCGTAGGAAAGTATTTACACCAGGTAGCCTCAGACCTCGGGTTCAGATACATGTGCCCCTCGTAAGAGGCAATGTGATCCTTAGGATCTGAGGTACCATCGTAAGTAATATGTGCCGGGATTTTGACCGTTGGCACATGCTCTTCCAGAATCCACTTCTGGAAGGGCGAGTTCGATGGAACCATGACCGCCTTCCCCTTGTACCCAGCCTCAGGGACCTCGCTCCCTCCTCTCTCAGAGGTGGAAGTGGTTTTCGTCCCCGGCTGAGACAAGGTTGGGTGGGGTCCGGTATCCTCTGGGAAGGTGAGGCGGCTATGCACACTCACCTCCCTCGAACCCAAGCGTTCGTGAACGCTTTGGCGGGCGAATTCCGGGTCCTTGGAGGGCCCCATGGAATTCTGAGCTTCGGAGTGGTCAGAGGGTTGAGGGTTCCTCCTCCTCTCCTTACTGGAGTTTCGGGTGTCCCCTCGCCACCTCTGGCCGAGCTCTCTATGTGGTGGAACTTGTCCACCATCATCCTGACCGATCCTCCTTTTCAGGTTTCTCGGCTGGTGATCATCAGGCATCTGGATTGGAGCCCCTTGAGCTTTAAGGAACTCCATGCAGATGGCCACTGCTCTGGCCACTTCCTCGGTGGAGGGTCCGGAGGGAGGAGTCTCCCGCGGATGTGACCTGGATTGCACGCTATGGCGCGGCGGGGAGTTCCTCGCACCTGAGCCACTCGGTCTCGGGGATGGCCCCGGCTGCCGAGTGTGGTGCGAGGTGTTCTCCTCCTGGAGGCTAGGACCTCTTGAGGCTTCCCTTTCCGGAGAAATGGGGGCCTCCGATTCGGAAGAGGCTTGCTCCGGGGAGGGATAAACCGGCTGGCGTTCCCTCACCGTAATCCGGCCTCCTCCCTTCTTAGCCTTCTTGGAACTCTTTCCACTCTTAGTCATGGCGACTGCCGGAGTGTTTGATGACTGACGCGAAATTTAGTAGCGTTCCCCACAGACGGCGCCAAATTGTTTCGGATGAAAACAATCGAATCTCGGAAGATCCTTTTATCTTGAGGGAACTTGGTCTCGGTCCGAACGACGCAGGAGCCGAGGGTTTCCTGCACAACAAATACACGTAAACTAGCCTCGGGGGGGACGCCGAGGAAGGCCCCTCCGATGCTTAAGTCAGTATATTAGAGAGAGAAAGCTGTGCAAGAGTTTAGTTGCTTGAGGCTTTATTGTCTTACCAAGAATTGACCAAATTGTTGGCTTTTATACCTTGGCTAATGAAGGAGGCGGATTGGGCCCGGAAGTCAGTTGGGCTGGGCCAAGCTGATTGGGCCGTTGACTGACCTTGACATGGCTTTGAGGATGTTGATTTTTGACTTTAGCACATTTGGAGAGTTGAACCTTAACCTTGGGCTTTTAATTGGATCATTCAGTGACCAGGCCCAATTGGACTAAATTGGACCCAAACAAATGAAAACAACACGTATCTTTATATTCATTTTTATAAGTAATACTTCGTGTGAACTCTGTAGTCTTATGACAGTATTATTAGGTAACATCTTGCAATAATTAGGGTGTGTACTTTTCACACGATTTTTTATTTATCTGAATTTACTTGAACTTATCTAAACTTATTAAACCTTATTAAAGACTTATTTTACTTGTAATTTGAATTAGGGTAAGTGAGTAACCTTATCATCAGAACTAATTTTTCTTCCTAATAAACTGAACTTAACTGACCTAAAATAAGTGAAAATAACGTGAACAGAACATGTCATATAAATGATAAATCTATTTATTTAGAACTTATAAAGGCTTAAACTGTTAAAAGTACCTTTATTATTCTACTTCATCAATATAATATGGTTATTAATTAATGATACATTTAGAGTTATTTTTTTTTTTTTTGACGAAAATCCAAGCAATATTATTAAGGAGTAGGATGGCTTAAATCAGCCAAAACAAGATCATGTATCTCACTAGGATACTCCTCTAACCAAACTCTAAGAGAATTAAAATTGCAACTAAGCTTGGCTAAACTATGAGCTACCCGATTTCCATCCCTCTTTACAAAAGCAAAGGTGCATTCATGACAGGAGCTAGCAAGCAGCAGAATATCCTTGATTATCAAGCCAAAAGTCGTCTGATCCACCCTTCTCTTCTTCAAATTGTAATACAACTTGAGGTTGTCAGTTTCTAAACACACCTTCAAGAAACCGGACTCCATAGCAATCACCAGAGAGTGCCTCAGAGCCATAGCCTCGACTATTTCCACAGCAAAACTGCCAGCAATTTGAAATAAAACTGCCAGGTTGCATTTAGAGTTATTTTTAATTACAACAACAAATTAGACAAAAGGCTAATGATGACTTCATAAAAAATAAAATTAAATTTTTTAAAAAAACCTACGTAGTATAGAAGCAACTAGATAATAATTTTTGTTTCCTCAAAAAATAATAATAATAAGGAAATTTTGACAATTACCACCTTCTATTTTTTTTTTTTTTTGAAAATTACCACCTTCTATTTTCAAAAATATCAAAAGTTACCACCTTCTTGCCCTCCAACTATCACGTGACGTCATTTTGGGCCCATTATTTCTCTTCCCTCCCTATTTCCCTCACATTTCTCATTCCTATGTGGATTCTCATCTCCCCTTTCACTTTTTTCCCCCAAACCACCAATAATTGTTCGTCAATTTTGATTTGGAGGAGTGAATTGAAGTGTTTTTGATTGTTAAGGGGAAAAAAGTGAAAGGGGGGATAAGAATCGAGTTAGGAATGAGAAATATGAGGGAAATAGGGAGGAAAGGGAAAGAATGAGCCCAAAATGACGTCATGTGGTAGTTGGAAAGCAAGAAGGTGGTAACTTTTGATGTTTTTGAAAATAGAAGGTGGTACTTGCTAAAATGGACATAACAGAAGGTGATAATTGTCAAAATTTCCTAATAATAATAATAATTTTTGTAAGAAATATGAACCCCACTAAATTTGATTGATTGTTGATATCAATTATCAATGCACTTGATTGAGAAGGTATAATTTAGCCGTCTAAAATGTGGATTTTGTGGAAATTTTGAATCAATCGGCCGGTGACAGTCCTATGGATAGCGACCTTAACTCTTTGCGTCGTGCTGGGATGTCATGTATACTTAACTGTTTGAAAACGTATACAAATTGCTAAGTCAACTAATTATACAATTAAGTATTATGTACAAGTAATAATTAAGGTGATATTGATCAACTTGCTTGAATTACCGTGGTTAAAATCTTAAAAGGTGGTTCTCAAAACGGGACATCAAATTCCAGTTATGAAGAGTCTAGAAGGAACCGATAATTACTTTTGAATTTCATTCTTTATTTTTTCTTTGATTACTAAAAAAATATTAGGCGACAAAGGAAATACTTTGTATATCAATATCATTGTAGCACACGGACACCAATTAAAAATGAGTGCATTATTAACTCAATTTAATTACTCGACCAAATGTGTGACGTACAAAAGAGATAGATGTGCCTTGCGGCAATTAAGTGAATAATGATTTTACATCAAAATGCTCATAATAATATTTGAATCGTTTTGGAATTGTTAGCAGCTTAACTTCTGATAGATTAAATGTAATCGATCATTTAAATTAATTTAAATGAGGCATTTTGGAAAAGTTGGATAAGTGATAATATGTAATAATATGAGCAAAAATTGTTGACAAACTCAGGTTAGTTAAAACAAGTTTGACAAGTCCAGGTTACGGGGTAGTTAAACAAGTTCTCTAAGTAATTAGTTAAACTATTAACGCTACATTAATTTTCAAATAATTCAATAAGTTTAGATAAGCAATGTTAAAATTAGTTCAGAGTTGATATGATAAATTCAAAAATTTTCAATTAAGTCAAAATAGTATGAATCAAACTCATCCTTGATAACTTTTGAAGTAATAAGGAAACACATCATTTACAATTTCGTTTCTCAATTTCATTCATCATGAATATAATTGCAAATTCATGATGGATTCTCCTCTTATAACACTTAGTATTACATATAATTTTGATTGCATTTTGAGGAAAGAAAACATGCAATCAATAACACTACATATATCGTTATGTAAGTAATTTATAACCATTTGAAAATTTAAATAACTTGGCGATCCCAAATCATGTAGTAGTCGTACGTTCTGTTAATAAAAGTTGATTTTTCCCTCGTAAGTTTGGCTCGTAGACCAATAAGCGGGTGCAACATCGTAATCCACAAGAGTATGGCCAGCTCCATTCTTAACCTTGAAAGAGAGAGATTGACCTCCTAATTCGGAGAATACTTGGAAAGAAGCTCCCCAGTTACGAGTCATACAAATCCAATCAGTGCTTTTTGACCCTTTTACCCACATTTTCTCTACATCTCCACTTCCTCCAACGTTCATAACGTACACTAGTAGCCAATATGGGTTCCCTTGGAATTGATATCTAATACCTCCTTGCCTAACACATGGCACCCTACAAAAACGTTAAATGAACCAATAATTAATAAACCAATAACATATACTTCCTCCGTTTCTTTTTAGTTGACGCGTTTCTTTAGTCACGTTTGTCAATGCACAAATTAAATTATTAACATCTTTAATTACCGATAAGCAAAAATTATAAAAAGTTGATATTATGAAAATGTACATTGTGACGAATCTAACAAGATCTCACTTGACTATATTTTTCCTTACATAGAAATCACAAAACATAGTCAAAGGGAGGTGTGTGAATAGTGCTAAAGTCAAAATGTGTCAACTAATAAAAAACGGAAAGACTGTACGTATTTGAAGTGAGGAATAGCTTAATTAGGTCGTTAGAGTTTAATCGCACTTAGGTCTTGTTTTCTTCACTTTAAAATAATGATAATAAAATTCCGTAAAAAGTTTCACTTTAGCAGTGTAGTTCAACAAAATAATTTAAGGTGAAAAGAACAGAGAAACTGGTTGTACCTTCTATATTGGACAGGAACAATGCCGGCAGTCCATTCAGCAATCTTCATGAACATAAGCTTAGACAGATCGAAATGGGAGCGAGGCGGGTTGCACCACCCACCATCATCGGCGGATTGGTACCAGTTTGGAGGGCAGAGGTTGGTGGCCGTAATCTTAATGATAGGTCCATCTTTGTAGCACCACTTTGACTCGATACACTTTATCTCATAACAAGCTCCACAAATTTCTCCATTATTGAACATCACTGAGCTAACTGCTGCTGTTGCTATTCCATATCCGTTATCATACAAGTTTCCGTAACCACAAGCCCCTCCTATTTTTATAAATTTAACAGTTTAAATTAATTCTTCATTCAAAAGTAAAAAAGAAAAAGATCGATCACTAGCTATATTTTCCTATGAAAAAAAATGGTTAATTGATATGTTACATAAATAATGGTCTTAATTTATCATCAATGACCTAAAATGTTAACTATGCATATGTAATCACTAATCTAATAACAACATTAATTTACGGAGTAGTATTATTTCATTGCCTTTTTTCTTGATGGTATTGATCATGACAATTCATTCCTTCAACAATAATTTGCTTTAATTTCAAATGTGAAATTACATACATGTATAAATATGGACCATATATAAGTTCTTCAAAAACATAAATATGACACTACTTAATGTGATTTGTAAATAGAATAAAAATATCGAAGAAGGTGCTTATCTACTTACTTTAACCTCCACGAATTGAAATTAACAAGAATAATTTATAAGAATTGGGATTTTGTTTAGTTTGTTTCGGTATGTAGTAATATGGATTTGATGATGATGAAACTAATTAAGCTACGTAAAATTTAATACTAAAGGAGAATTATCCACAGTTAATTTTAATTAACACAGAGTATGATACGGAAAATAGTATATTGTAGTATATAGAAGCAAAGCTAACCCATTGTCTCAGAGACAGATTCATCCCCATAAAACGTAGCATGAGCGTAATTCCAATCCGTCGATGGCTTGTAGACTGGTGCACCCGGCGGTGCACTTGGCAGCGCATTGTAGTCGTTGTATCCGTAGTATCCATCCACAAACGTTAAACTCATCGCAATTGTCATCGTTAAAACCACCACCAAAAGACAATTGAAGCTTGATGATCTCATAATAATCATTTCACGTCCCATTTCTCTCTAAATGTCTTCCTTCTTCACGATCTCTCTTGTAGTGATAACACTAATGCAAGTTATTAGACATTTAAATTATATCAACACGTACAATTATATAATTAAGGATCTCCTTATTTAACTAGTCAGCGAGATTATAGTACATTATACGTGGGCTTCACTACTAATTGTAATCTAATCATATTATTATACTATTGTTAGCATCTCTGCTATATCAATCAACTATCCAAATTCAACTAATTAACTTTAATTAAAAAGTAGTTGACATCATCTCTTCATTATAAGTTGCTTTAGTCCTGTATATTATAATTGTTTGATTGATTCAAAACTTGTTCGAAAGTAAAATCTAGGCTTGAATAATAAAAAGTCAAAAGTGAGGCTTATTTTAATAACCAATTAATAACGATAGAAATCATACAGTAAATTTATGGGTGTTTAGTTTGACTATATCAATTATTTTAAGTCAAATGAATTATTGTTGTAAAATAAAGAGAATGGAGTCTAGAGTGATCAGGCGGGGTGGTTGTTTAGAGTGGTGGATGATTAAATTTTTTAGTTATAATTAACCAAAAACAAGACATGTTACACTATAAGCCAATCAAGACCATTTTTGAGAAAAAAAAAAAAAAATTCCCTAAAATTGTTAATTATGGAGTAGAATCAAAAGGACCCCTCAGAGCATACACGGATCACACCTTCATGTGATCCAGAGTGCATATAAAATCGTGCTTTTTTACAATAAAGATTTGTTCTCTTCAGTTTATTAAAAATACTTATTACTTATTCTTTAGTAAATTCATATCAGATTAAACAGACCAAAAACATTATCAGAACATTTAATTATCATTTACTTATTATTAAATACGTTAATTGCGTACTAAAAAAATATTATGAAATTTCCATATTTAAAAAATTAGTTCATATTTACAGATTAGTATTAAAATAAAGTTAAAGTTTAGTCAAATTCTTAAATCAGTTCATATCAGATTAGATAATAAAATTTCAGACCAATACAAACCAGACCTTAATAAAATCATACCAGATCTACTTGTTTCAGCTGAAGAGAACAAGTTATAAGGGCATCTCTTCAACTTATTTTAAGTTCACTTCAGTTCCAATAAGTTCATTTCTGTTCAGTTCTTATCTTAATTTCCTTCTTTCATAAAATATTTAGTTCGGTTTAGTTCAATTCAGCTCTAATAAGTTAAATTCAATCAATCAGAACAAACTCTAAGTGTGCCGAAAAGGCCCGAAATCATTTATTGGTGCGCCAAAATCATTTGTAACTTAATTTTTCCCAAAAAGCTAGTTTACCCCCAAAAAGCAACTCGTACTGTACTAGTGTAAGTTAGCAGTACTATAATCTGCAGCATTTGTTGAATGTTGTTCCTTTAAACACCACTCATCGTAATTCAGACCAACCAAGATTCTCCATTAATGGATTCACCTTCATCATCCTCTGATTCACCATCATCATCATCATCAACATCATCCGATTCACCATTAACATCATCATCAACAACAATACCATCATCTGAATCACAATCAACATCATCAAATGAATCCAGAGCAAAAGCATCACATCATATGGTACTAGTACGGTGTTCAATAGCATTAGGGTTTCTGTTCATCTGCATATTTTCTCTCTCCTATACTTTCGGCTTCTTCGCTTTACTCTTCTCCAATTTCTCAATTCCTCCTCCTATTTCTGTTCCTTCTCAATGCAAAATCGTTTCCACCAGTAAGTTCAAACTTCCCACCAGTAATTTAGGGTTTTCATCATGTTTGTTTCTGTGATTTTAGCTTTAATTTGTGTATGAATTTGTGCAATTATTAATTTCTGTGATATAGGTTAAGTTAGGTTAGTGTATATCTTTTGATTGCTGCTGATTTGCTGAAATCTCAAATTTCAGTGATTTTAGCTTGAAGTAGTATACTAATTATGCGTATAATTTATTTTCATGTTTGAAATTTCTGTAATATAGATGTATACTACTAGTCAGAATTATGGATTGTTGGTGAAATTGCTGAATTAGGCTTGACTATTTTTTTTGAAATTATGATTTTGAGGATTCTATCTGTTGTGGAGTTTCGAATTGCCCGGATTTCTTGGATTGGGATCGTGTTGGTGCTTAATAGAAGTTAAGGCCATATTTGTTCACATTGTAAATGGAGTTTCGGGCTTAATAAGGTAACAGAGTTCATTTCAGGGCCGATAAGTTCGGATTTTAATAAGTTCAGTTGAAGATATATACGAGTAGATAAGTTAATTATTGGACAAGTTTGTTCTGAAAAAGTCCAATTCAAGGCTAACTAGTCAATATAAGCTCAAGAGTTTTCTGTTTTAAAAAAAAAAATATTAGGTTGAGTAACTTTTGCATTACTGAAAATCTAAAGATTATTTGTGTGAAGTTAAAGGTTGATGAGGTGGAATAAGGACCATACTGGATATTGCTCTCTGTGATCGTTCCTTGTTGGTTTTTGTATGATGATTTATTGGAGGGTGAGTTGGGATTCGGGAGTGTTTACATGCTTTTATATTAGCAAGTTAGACCTAACTCAAGTCAATTGCTACTGTGGATTATTGCGTTGCTTGATGTGGTGCCATTGTCCTGGTTGTAATGTACTAGTGTGTGCTTTACACCTGTAAAGAATATGGAATGTAATTGATGATTGTCTTGAGGTTTCTCTCATGATAATTGATTAGCTATTGGAAAATTTCATACTTAATAGTAGAGTCAGTCTAAGGTTTGAACTTACATTGTACCGGTAGTAAAAGTAACTTTTATGTTTGATGTGAATTGTAAGTATTTTGAGGTGGATTGCTTTTTAGAGAGGAAGAGAGAGATACCTAGGCTCAAAGTGCATTGCTAAATGGCCATTCTACAACTTGTCGATAATCCTCTTTAGCAAATCTTCAGGGCCGCTCAAGGGAACCCATCTTTCATAATATATATGCTTTGAGAAAATAAAGTGAAATGGAACTAAAAGTAAACTAGTAACAATAGAGATGGAGGAACAGAATTTGTTAGCGGAAATGTTGTGTCTGAGCTGTACGGCTGTTAACTATGTTAATAAAATCGCTGGAAAGTGAAATGCTTTGTTAAGACGTGGTTGAGGTGATTAATTAAATAAATAAATCTGATGTACTATGTGTTTGCAGTTATCTTTGAATGTGTGAGCAGATTGATGTGTTAAGTTATTTTTGCAGGTGTTGACTTGAGATCATCAAAAATATGTGAACTTGGGCTACTAAATTATAAGGCCAAGCGAGTATTTTACCCATCTGAAAGAAGGAAATTTCGTTGCCGTTATGATTACTACTGGGCTTCTATTTTTAAGGTCTTTACTTGTTACTTTCTGAAACATTTCGCAATTTGTGTTGAACCTTCTGTGTCCTTATTATTATCCAAATCATTGTTCTGTTAGTCATCAGTGACTTCTCAAACCAAATAAATTGAGATGGTCTTGTAACTTGTTAGCTATATATCTTGGAATTTTCTCCTAACTTGTTGTGTCCTTGCCTTAACCATGTTAAATGGAGTACCAGTCTGACAGTCTTTGTGAGTCAAACTAACATAGCTCTTCTGTGTATGAGTCGGTTCTTGCATTCTAACAAGGTTCTTACTACCGCGTGGACATAACCTGTGAGTCTGTGACTATTAATATGAGGTATTCAGACGATATCCCACATTGACTTTAAAATCACTGCTTGCTTGGTTTTTGCAGCAGTTCCAGAGTTGACTCTTCAAGTTTTGGAATGAATCTTTAACCAACTGCTTGCTTGCCTTTTCTTCTAATTCCTAAGGTGAATCTCCATAAATTATTAAACTGGTACTTTCGCCAAACTGCTCTGTGCTTATGCTAGTGTGCTGTGTGAGCTTTGACATCTAGGTCCTATGATGACTACTAGTAGTAGTAGATCATCATTCACCTTTACATATCTAAATGATCGGGGGAAGCACTATCTTCCGTGGTTGTCATACCTGATGAGCTTGTGAATTGTGAGACCACCTCTATGTTGTTCCCTGAAGTAGTCTGTATGGTTGCAGTTGTATCTGTTCTGCCTATCTTTTCCAACCACGCAGATTCCAGAGAAAGAGGATGATAAATATAGAATAAGGGCCTTTCTGTTTTATGCTTCCTGTAATCCTGTTTACTGCCTTTTTTGGGATGAGAGAAGGCCATATATATTCATTGGGGTTGAGAAAAGGAGAATAAAGAAAAGGTTTATGCAATAGCAATATAAGGTGACAATATGAGATGCAACTATACCGAGGAAGGAAATTTTGAAATTGTACTTGAAAGCGGTATGATTAGTAGCAATGCTGCATTAATCATAGTTGGTTGGATAGAATAGATAATTGCATAGGGATCTCTTGCAGATTTATAATTATCACTAGAACAGGACTTCTAGCTGGTGCTGTGGGTTAAAAACTTGAAATTTTGGCCGTTTGAATATGATGATTATGCTTTGTAGTTACTTTTAAACGCTGATGCTTTATTGTCTGGCTGTGTGATGTCACCTTATTTTATCCCTTGGAAAATGGCGGAGAATTGAAATAGTATAGTAAGTAAATTTGCTGATACTACATGGCTAACTGATTTGATGGAACTTACTTGTAGATCTTCTGACAATCATTTAACTGTCAGAACAGCTACTCCATTTAGAACTTGAGATAGCGGGAAAGTTATTGTATACTTCACTTTCATTGTTTAACTGATCAGTTGTGTTTCACCAATTCAGTTATTTGTATTTCTCTATCAATAATCCGGCTTCATTATAATAGGTGGAATACAAAGACCAGTTCTCAGGTCAGACGTTACTTGGTCTGGCAGAAGCTCCGCAGGAAGCTCTCCCTAGTGATTGTCGGCCTAATTTTTCTACTGCTTGGCTGACTAAGCATATGCTGAAGGTAATTGCTATTGGTTTCTGGTTCAGCTGTCTTTTATAAGCCTATATGATAGTTGGTTCTCTCCTACAACCATTTTTTCAATGCTTGAATTTGTATCTACCTACAATCCTACATAATTCATTATTGGTTTTACTGGAATAATCTTGATTTTTATGGTTTGTCATCAAGTTTAGATTAACCCGTTCCTATAAAGCAATGGCCCTTTTTATTATGTGTGGATTAAAAATGTAGGAAATGACTTGATATTTATTAGCAAATGATCATCTAGATGAAAGGGACTAAGGAGAAATTTGGCATTATTTTCTTATATTATGAAGATGAAAAGGTGTCATGACAAAATATTCTGAGCACTTCTTTATTACTACATTTGGAAAAATGGCCTCAACTTTGGAGACTGTACTGTTGGAGACTTGGAGTCCTAAAGTGGAAGGTTCCTAGATTGACTCCTTGGTTATTTGCAAGAATTCTACGCTCTGATTGCTTATCACTTCGGAAATGTAAATGAGTAGCAAGACAAAGAATGAGCATTGGAAAACAGTGGAATAAAAATGTGAAGCAGATGAACTTGCTTGAATATATGGTCTGAAGCAATTTTAAGATATAGCCTCATTTGAGGTTATATGGATGTTTATGCCAGTTCCTATAGACCTAAAGGCCAAATGTTTTACATTAGGCTGAGTGAGTACTGGAAACAATAACTATCCATATTGCACATTGATTTGTAATAAATTTCTATTCTTACGTGGTGGATTAGGTGAATAAAACCTATGACTGCTGGTATACCTCCGGGCGATCAAAAGTTGAGATATTTCAAGACAGTCACTTTGGTTGCCAAGCAAAGGATCCATCTTTGTTTGAGATGATGAGAAGATACTCCATACTGTGAGTATATTCCTTGATTTTCTAAATTTAAACTTTGATTTCTTTTAGTTTCATCTGTACTACTCTCAGTATAACAATGATTCTGCTATCCTATGATTCCACCAGTAATATGTTGGTTGACTATAGTTGATTTTGGATGTGACATTCCAATTTCATGAACCTATTTACGAACTACCATTAAATCTATATGGTTTCTCAACATACCAGTATACCACTGACAATAACGTGACATTATTTTGTTTTTGGGACTTGTTTTCAGTCGTGGACTTGTTTAGTTGTTTTCATTGTGGATACTGATTTATCTTCTACGTTTATTGTCACCACAGGCTGACAAAGATGATGCAGTCCTGGTTATCTGGTCAACTAAAAACTAAGCTTATGAGATGGGGAGTGATACTAGGTGTCATTAGTGGTTTTCTCAGTGCCATGATTTCCTTTGCCTTGTTTACTCTCTGTAGTAGATTGTTATGTTTGATTCCTAGAGCTGCAGTAGCAATGGTAACCTCACTGATACATCGGGTGATTTTTTCTCGGATATTTTTCCTCATGGCATACTTTTCAATTGTCAGCTGGTTAGCAATCCAGTATGGTAAAAGGCTTGGTCTCCCTGAACTCTTTATAGACTACTAACATTCAACAGCGCATATTTAAAGGGCTGGATTCCCTGCGGAGGCTCAGTCCAGCAATTTTGGCATTGAAGACAGATTTATAGATCGAAAATTGCCTTGTTGGAATCATCACATTATTGCATGATCATGAACAAGTGCTTCGCGCAAGACAATGTCAATGTACTCTGTATTATATATTTAGCGTAATACAAGTATAAATCAAGCCGCCTGATCTTGTACCGAGTCACTCGTATTTCATGCACAAAGCAAGAGTACAGTAAAACTTGCTTTGGTGTGGCTTTCTGTAACACATGTACTGATGTACTAAATTTAGATATTATTCCGATCTGTATAAATAAAAGGCTGTTTAACTTTTGGAAATTGCATATCATTAAACTTTGTTTCCGAAAAGATTTTGTGTTTTTATTTGTTTATTTGTTATGTAGTATTATAATACGAAGTAGTACTTTTACGTACTGGGTTATGAGTTTATGACATGCGTTGTTTCAATTTGCAGGGTTGCATGCTTTGTATGATATTCTTCTTATATATATTCTAGTTTTGTGCCCCGTGCGATATCCAGGTTTTTTTACTCAATTTTAAGATAAATTTCTAATCTGTGTATCAAATTTTAAAAAATATTATTCATACAAATTAATAAGGAATTGATGTGCGTTTGTGATGATTAACTATCTAGTAGGTATGTAATGACTAATAATAATATTCGTGAAAATGATTGATTTAATACATTAAAAAATAAAAAATTAGAAGAAAAAAATATATTAAAATTGATGTGCTTTTGTGATGATTAACTAACTAGTAGGTATGTAATGCTTTTGTGATGATTAACTATCTAGTAGGTGTGCAAAGCTCCTTGGATTGACCCAAACCAAAAACTTTGGGCAAAAGTTGAACATTTCTTGACCTGTAACCTGAAGTGACTCCATCCGAGATGACTCATGACCCGATTCTAATTGACAGATTTACATAGTACTCCGTAATAAAACTATGTTAAATTGTGAAGTATATTATTTTAACCGATTAGTATATATTATAAATAGATGTTTTACGCTCTGAACTACTTCATTCCCTCCAAAAAAATATTATAATATAAAAAATAAATTTATACGATAATTTTTTACTATTATAATCTAATACTCCCTCCATTTTTAAATACTTGCTCAATTTCTTCATGCGCGGAGTTTTAGGAGAAATTGGAGAAAGTAATAAAATATTGAGGTAGTGGGGTAGTTGAGAAAATAAAAAATTGTAAAAAGCAAAAATAGTGGAAGAATAGGAGAGAGTATTATGTTGGGTCCACTAAGTGTGAGAAATGAATTAAATATTGTAAAAGCTTTCCGAAAAAGAAAATGGAGCAAGTATAAAAACGGCCGGAAAAGGAAAGTGAAGCAAGTATTTAAAAACGAGGGGAGTAATTTTTACTGTATAAATTTATAATTCAATTTGTACCTATGAAATATTGGTATTATATCGAAAATAAAACTCTAAACTAAACAATTTTATACTAAAATTCTATCCAAATAGAATCCTAAGCTAATTTTTTATCTTATAAAATCTATTTAAATCTAAAAAATTTAGATTTTATATATTAGCTATATGATATGATGATGGTGTTATATGGCAATATGGCGTATAGAGCTGGCAAAAAGTCGTGTGGTGTTCGTGTTTGGTCTCATGTCAATATGTCAATTTCATTTTGTTCACAAAAGCTATCAAAAAAAATGTAAAACGTAGGATAAGTATTGAATCATAATTTGACCAATTTATCTAAACGGGTCGTATTCGGGTTGGTTTCTTATCGTGTCGTATCGACTTCAATTCGTGCTTTCTCTTAATAATTTCGTGTTCGTGTCGTGTTGGTTTCGACCGTGTTGTCGTGTCGTGTTGGTTTCGATCGTGTTGTCATATCATGTCAGATATTGCAAGCTCTAATGACGTATAAGAGGTATAATGAAATCAAAAATATTTTTTTTTTATAAATAATTTAATGTTAATTTATGAACCAACGACAAAACAAATAGAAAAGAAATAAGTAAACACACCTTTTAAAGGAAAAAAAAAACCTGTAACCCTAAAAGTAATACGAATGTCTTTGGTTAGTACAAAGGAACTTGTACCTCACGTAATCTAAAAAAACTATCCGTATTATTCATCGAAGCACCGAGAAACAAAAATAAAACAAGCAAATAAAAACTAAGGGGAATAAAACGTGGCATAGCCACCCCTACTACATCATCAAATAAAATTATTCATCGCGTGTTGGTGGTAGTGAACATCGAATAGTTAATCTTGTTGTCCACTTTGAAGGACCACCCGCTTCGTGTTCTTGTTTAGTATGGACATAGGAAGAGGAGGCAACGTTGACGGAGTCGCTAAGGGGTTGCTGGTGTTTTCTAATACAAGTTTCACAAATACAATCCTTTTTTTCTTTTCTTTCTAATTTTTGAGAAGCTTTCTCAGCAACCAATGCTAACAAATCCAATGGACTTAAATTATTCTCCATTTTCCTTATATCTCTATATTCTTCTTCGGTTAACAACTCATCATTATTATTCTCCATTCTTTGAGTTTGAATTTGCAAAAACAATTTTTATTATTTTTTAATGAAATTGTAAGAACGAAAGTAAATAAAGGTGAAAGTCTATATATACATATGTACAATATGGTTTATCCGTTTATGTATAGGAGTTTGATTATTATTTGCATGAGAAGTATAGAGCTATTGAAACTGTATTGTATTAAGGAGTGTAATTAGGGTGTAATTTGTAAATTTAAAGTGGGTTAATTAGGAAAGTGTAAGTTGTGATTAGTTTAAGAATTATTTCATAAATTGAAGGATATTAGGACATTTATTTGATTTTTTTTTTATATATATAAAAATCTTTTTCCACAACCGTAAAAAAGATAAAATAGTAATCTTTTATCCTCGTGCAATTGTGATGAAGAGATAGGAAAGTGGGGAGATGTTTGTAGAAGAGAGGAATTTTTTTAAATGCTAAAAAATTAATAAGTGCCCAATAAAATTAATTAAGCTGTAAGAAATAATCAAATATATTGTTGGAGTAAACTAAGATACATGGGATTTTACATCGTTGTTAATAAGAATAATGTGAAAAAAAATAGAAAAAAAGTGGGGTTATTCTAAGTTAATCAAAAGGTTATTATCAACAAAGTATTAAACAATTGATTATTTGAATTAATATTTACGTTTAGAATTTTGATAAAGTTTATACTATAGTAAGAAAAATATATAGCCGTGTTAAATATTTGAGTATTTCTAAAATCCGACTGATACAACAACTTACCTAATACGAATCCCACCCAAAATTATTAAACCCAACATCTATCGGTTCGAACTCAAACCAAATATATAAATTTGTTGTATTACCCTAATATCACTAGTAAAATATTCTATAATTTTTAATAATTAATGAACAACTAACCCTAAATTATAGGAAATTTCGAATTTGATATCGATTATATTGTTACGTTTTCAATTTAAAAACAACAACAAAAAATTGTGCATTTTAAAATTGGCGTATATCGCTATTAAAAAAATTAAAAATAAAATAAATATTGTGTATATCTTTTATTATTCAGAGTATCTGTAATCTATAAAAAGCCTAACATATAACCGTATAAAGAGTCAAAACCCTAAAAAAGAAATTCAGTGATTCAACATGTCTCATGACAGTAACACTAACAAGACTCTAATTCCTCCTTCAGATAATCAAGGTAATAATTCATTCATTTTGCTCAACTATTTTTATTTACAATTAATTATTCTGAATTTGTGATGAATTAATAGGTTTTAATTTGGTGGATTATTCTTTCAATTGGTTTATGCTTTGATGTGTTGATATGATCTTTGACTATTTTCCATGAATATGTTAGTAGTACTTTGCAACTGATTTCCAGGTGCTTGAGTTTCTAAAAATTAATGGTGTATATTTCATAAGAAAAGAAATGTACGTTACTACTCCATATTTGGTAAAAATTAAACTTGAGTGTACGATGCAATATAATAATGAGAACGAACATTGGTTTATTGTAATGCATATCATACTTACGAGTGTACTATATAAAAATTGGAATAAAATAAATTTTCATATATGAAGTTCGTCATATGTATGTAACTAATTACATTTTTGTTGATTTCCTTGTAAATGGTTTCCCTCCCTATTCTTAAGGATATAGATATATATACCTCTTTGTTTTATGTTAGTTATAAATTGTAGCTAATTTGTTAACTCAATCTATCAATTAGTTAGATACTGATCAGTCAAAGATCTATTTATTTTATTTTGTAAAAAAAGTCAAAGCTCTATTTATTTATTTTTTAATTTTATTTTTGAAACAAAGCCAAAGCTCTATCTTTTTAAAATGGCATATATACTTTTAAAATTATGACTTAATTTTAAGAAATAAATAAATTAAACTAACTGCGCTAATGTGTATGTAAATATACTTGATATTGACTTAAAATTAATAGTATGAGTACATTTTAATACTTTTTTTTAGGTTTTTTCTCCATTTTCATTGTCATTTTTTCTTTGTCCTAAATTCATGAGTTTTATTTTTGTTTTAAAGTGCCAAACCATCCATTCCAAGTAGTGAACGATGATTCACCTAAAGGCGCCTACGAAGAGAAACAAATCGATACAGATTATCATGTTCGAATTGATATGCCCGGTGTTTCGAAAAATGGGTTAACAATAACTCAAGATTTGGAGAAAAATCAAATTCGTTTTTGTGGTAAAGTTCCATCAATAAAAGAGTTTCCTGAACGCATAAGAGCATATGCAAGTGTTATAAATCTTGATACAAATTTGGGTGATATTCAAATGAACCATTCTCTTGTTAATGGCTCTTTGAGGTTTGTCTTTCCTAAGACACAAGGGAGTCTTCAAATCCTCAAATATAGAGGTATTATTGTGCTTTATTTCATTCTATTTACAACATATATAAACTCTAAATTTAATTTAACTTTTTTTTTTAATTATAAGGTGGGAAAGCTGTTGATCAATCTGATGATCATCTAATTTTTGGTAAGAAAATAGAATACATACATAATTTTTTTTTCTTCAAATTAGGGCCTATTTATTTCAGCTTAATTTAGTTTAGCTACAATCAGTTCATTTCAGCTCCTAATTTGCTTCTCTCATAAAATATTCATTTTAATTCAGTTTAGTAATTGTGAACAGGTCGTTAGAGTAATTATTTAAAAATAAATGTTTATTAATCCATATTTTCATTTTAGGTAACTTGGATTCCACAAGTGTTCATGAAAGTAAGTAAAATTACCATGATTTTTTAATTTGATATATATATATATATATATATATATATATATATATATA